TGCCCCATGCCCCACAGAGGCCATTACCCCTTCTCTCACGTTTGACAAGTGAAGAAATGGCCTGAGTGGTTACCTGACATTGTGGCAGGGTATACTTACCCCACACTGGTTCCTCAGGGGTTAACGCCATTCTATGGGCTGAAGAGGCCACACTCCTTACCCCTACTGGGCATGCTCCAACTGGAACCACAGTATAAAAGGGAGTGCGACTCAGCTCATTCTGGGCTGTCCAGGTAGGAGATGAGGGGTGTACTGCAGGCACTTACCGGGAAGAGTCCCAGGCTGCAGAAGCCAGTTGGGCTGGGACACTCAGCCAACTGTGGAGGCTGTGAGATTGCTGTTGCTGGAAGCCAGCATAGGAAGTGGCCCTGGGATCAGGATTGTAGCAAGGAGAGATTGAGATTGATCCCAAAAGTACACGTTTCTCAGGGTCTGTGGTTGGAACCTGGTGGAGAGGAATGGGCTTTCCTGTCAAAGGACACTTACATAGACCCCGGCAGGGCTCTGAGATGAAGACAGGGCCTTCTTTTGCCTGGTGTGGTGGTTATTGTTATAAAGATTGATTCTACATTTCAGTTCCCTTGAGATTTGATTGGGGGGGAGGGGGCAAAAAGAGTGATAGCTGAGGAGAGATGATCTATATCACATATTGGAGTTTGAGAGGTTCAATGAGGGGAGCCTCCCTTTTCTGAGCCTCCGGGCTGCTGTGATCGCCTCTGGAATCTTTTCCATGGGGCTCCAGCAGTGCCCACAGGTGCTCGGTGACCTGCACAGGCTTCTTTTCAAATGGCTGGTGACTGTCTGAGAGGCTTCTCCTTTGGGGATTCCTCCCATCTGTGCTCAGTCCCAAAGCTTCTGCATGCCCATATGATTTCATTCTGTGGACCGCCGGAGAGAATGGACCAGGTAAAAGTCACTTTCAAGCCCAGGATCCCCTCCCCATCTGGAGATTTAAAATCTGTTTGAATCAGAGCCTACTGTTCTAATGCCAGCTTGTATCAGCGGTCACCATATCACACAAAGGGTACGTCTAGAGACTCTAGACTACAGGCTTTTGTCGACAGAGGCTTTGTTGACAGATACTGTCGACAAAGCTTCTGTCGACAAAGGGTGTCTAGACGAAATCCAGTTCTGTCGACAAAGCAAGACGCTTTGTTGACATGACAGTGTAGACGCAAAGGACAGTTTAGATGCAATAACGCCTTCTGTCGACAGAACTCTGTCAACAAAAGGTGTTATTCCTTGTTTTGTCGACAAAACTCGGTGGCAGTGTAGATGCAGGTATAGTTTTGTCGACAAAAGTCCACTTTTGTCGACAAAACCCTGTAGTCTAGACACACCCAAAGAAAGGTGCAAAGACCCAAACCATCTCAGATCTGGAGTACACTACTACAGCTTTGGAACAATTGTTTAGCATTGCAAGAGGCACGGGAGACTAAAAGGCATTAGCGACTAAAATGTTTCCCTTCCATTACTGTCAGTGACAAAACTCCCATTGTTTTCAGCAGGGTCAGGATCAGAGACAGAATCCAGATTGTTAGCAGAAAATTTAGCAGGTCACTTTTGTAAAGCTAACTTTCCTAAACATCTTTATCTGCCTGTCTATATAAACATATTACTCTAAATAAATGTGACAGGATAAGGACTCAAAAGATAGCCAAACACAACTGTGTTTCTCCAGTGTGTACAATTCTAGTCTGATAATCTAATCCAAATCAGAGAGGAGGCCCCAGGAATTCCTTCCGATCGACACGAAGTTTGGGTCTCTAATACCAAAGGGCAGAAAAATAGCTCTAACCTTAACATTGATTCTTCTGTTTATTTCTTTTACTCCCTAAAAGAGGTGTTCAATGTACAAAGCAGGCCATGTTGTTCCCTCGTCTGGTCTTCTTCTGATTATGAAGACTCAAGGATGAAAGCCAAAATTCCCTGGAAGAGATGCCAAATGGCAATGAAAGACTAACTACGCCCAGACATGATGACTTTACACTGACTTAATAAATTCCCCAAGACACAGGGCCAGATCCTCAGCTGGTGTAAATGGGTACATCGTCATTGACTTCAGTGGAGTTTCAGGATGCCAACACTAGCTACTTTAATGTGAGTCTCATGATAGTGTTTTTCTTGAAATCCCAGCTCCTGGAGTCAGGTGACTGTGAGAATCTCAGCTTGCTTGCTTGCTTGCTTTCAATAGACTCCAGAACTTCCTACGTGAGTGCTAGCCTTCCTTTCCTGCATCACCCCTTTTAGTGCAGGAAAGCGTAATTCTACTTTATTGCCTGGTATTGAAGAATGCAGAAGTTCACCTGAAATAGTAAACTCAACAATCTGAACTTCATTAATCAGCAATAAACCCGGAGAAACAAAAGGCAGCCACTGAAAGTGCCTGATAGGGCTCTGTACTACTGCATGCCTTGGAGGCGCATGGCTTTTACAGCAGACTTAGCCAGTTGGCCAACATAAAGATCAGATTAATGCCGTGGTAAATCACATACCGAATACACTCAACAGCCGTCTATGAATCACCCCGCCTTCCTGCAGGAGTGGAAGCTGCTCCACTCCCTGAAACAATTAATCCCTTAAAAGAAATAGAGGGACAGAACCTGACTAGGTGTAAGACAATGTAGTTCCATTGACTTCAATGCAGCCATGCTGATTTATGCCACCTGAGGATCACATTCATGCACTTCGGGGGCTGGGAGAGGATGATGCAAATGTAACGTTTGTGTGATGGATGAGCCAAGCCAGTGACGTTTGCAACTTAATATATGGCAGCCTTAAAGAAAGAACATATGTAAAGCTCCATGGGAACAAGAGAGAGCAAACACACAGTGAGTGATTCCTTTGGACATTCTGCATGTGAACTGAGACACAAACTGGCAGCAGCCTCTACAATGGGAGAGTAGATGATGCTAAATTTAAAGGAGCAGTATAAAGAGTGAGATCTCCTTTTAGGGCAGTGGCATTGCCTTAGCTGACTATATGGACTACTGTGGATACGTAACAGTTGTTATCAGATAACTTCTGTGTGTAGTTAATGGGAAGCATTGTGAAAAGGTCAAGCAAGCTATTGCTATGATCAGATAGGCTACTGTTGACAGTGAATAAGGTGCTGGCTTTCACTAGCAACAATAACATGGTTTGTTGTTGACCCTAGGGCTACGTCTACACTGGCCCCTTTTCCGGAAGGGGCATGTAAATTTCAGCAGTCGTCGTAGGGAAATCCGCGGGGGATTTAAATATCCCCCGCGGCATTTAAATAAAAATGTCCGCCGCTTTTTTCCGGCTTTTAAAAAAGCCGGAAAAGAACGTCTAGACTGGCCCCGATCCTCCGGAAAAAGTGCCCTTTTCCGGAGGCTCTTATTCTTACTTCAAAGTAAGAATAAGAGCCTCCGGAAAAGGGCACTTTTTCCGGAGGATCGGGGCCAGTCTAGACGCTCTTTTCCGGCTTTTTTAAAAGCCGGAAAAAAGCGGCGGACATTTTTATTTAAATGCCGCGGGGGATATTTAAATCCCCCGCGGATTTCCCTACGACGACTAGTGAAATTTACATGCCCCTTCCGGAAAAGGGGCCAGTGTAGACGTAGCCCCCGAGTATCAGAGTCAATATCTGCAACTCTTCAGATGCTTGGGTGAAAAATAAAATCATTCTCTGCTTCATTGTTCATCCAGAAAGGAAGCTAACAGGGGAATAAGGTTTAGAAAAAGCAGCAAAGTGGGAGTGCTGGAGTTGTTCCTGTTTGACACCTGATGCCTTACAAATAACATTTATAACTGGGAAAATCAGCCAATGTTTGTTGGTGCTAAAGCAGTCTGACTAGAGTAAACATTTCCTGCTCTCCTGAATACAGAGCTGGTCTGTAATTAAACTCTCACTAGACGATATCTTTGGTTTAAGCTTGTCAGCAGCATGTATTAATTTATATTTAAATACTATTAAGTGATGTTTTTTCAGTTAAGATGAGATCTGACACAGAAAGCCTTCATCTAATAGTCCTGAGAGGTAAATGTCTGGATGCTCTGAACTCTGCATCGACCTCTCCCTGTTGGTGTGAGACAGACAAAGGTTATGCCTATACTGAAGATCTTACAGTGGCACAGCTATACAGGCAGTCCCCAGGTTACGTACAAGATAGGGACTGTAGGTTTGTTCTTAAGTTGAATCTGTATGTAAGTCGGAACTGGCGTCCAGATTCAGCCGCTGCTGAAACTGACCAGCGGCTGACTACAGGAAGCCCTAGGCAGAGTTGCTGTGCCCCGGGCTTCCTGGAATCAGCCGCTGATCAGTTTCAACAGCGGCTGAATCTGGATGCCTGGGACAGAGCAGCTGGGACACTGCCGGGTAGGTCCCCGCAACGCTGCACCTCGGCGCTGCAGTGACCAACCCGGCAGCCCCCCAGCTGCTCTACCCCAGGCATTCCCAAGTCAGCTGCTGCTGAAACTGACCAGCGGCTGATTCCAGGAAGCCCAGGGCAGAGCAACTCTGCCTCAGGTTTCCTGTAGTCAGCCCCTGGTCAATTTCAGCAGCAGCAGCTGAATCTGGAGCCAGTTTCGACTTACGTACAAATTCAACTTAAGAACAAACCTACAGTCCCTATCTTGTACGTAACCCGGGGACTGCCTGTATAAAACTTATTAGATGAACTGAAAAATACTTTTTTGTTTTTTATAGTGCAAATATTTGTAATAAAAATAAGTGTAAAGTGAGAACTGTACACGGGGTGTTCTCCCCCCCCCCCAGCAGACCAGGGAGACGCGGGCGGCGGGACCGGGATGCGCCGCGGTCCCGTCGCCCAGGTCCTCCGCGTCTCCCTGGTCTGCTGGGGGCCCCTACAAGATTCGAACTACCTACTCCGTGCCGCGTGTAGCCACAGGCACGGAGTCCACACTAATGGGGATTTAAAAATGGTGGCGCCCGGCAAGATGCAAATGAAGCCCGGGATATTTAAATCCCAGGCTTCATTTGCAACTTCGAATGCCTACATTTGCCACCCTAGTTCGAACTCGTCTCCCTGGTCTGCTGGGGGCCCCTACAAGATTCGAACTACCTACTCCGTGCCGCGTGTAGCCACAGGCACGGAGTCCACACTAATGGGGATTTAAAAATGGTGGCGCCCGGCAAGATGCAAATGAAGCCCGGGATATTTAAATCCCAGGCTTCATTTGCAACTTCGAATGCCTACATTTGCCACCCTAGTTCGAACTAGGGTGGCAGTGTAGACATACCCTAAGTTTCTGCAAGACTATTTGTTGCCTTTTAAGTTTTTCCAGCTACTGGTGAAG